ATACTGTTTTTCTACGTTTATTATACGTTTTTTAAACGTATTATTTCCGTATATTTTCCTTATACATATTATTTATAAGGGAGACATTCAGGTACAAATTTTGTAGTTAAAGTCTAAAAAAATAAAATTAAATAAATATTTATTTATTAATCAATAAATTAAAGTATAAATTTACCTTAAGTGCAGCTTCAGTTTTTAAAATACTGTGAAAACAGAAAAAATAATTATTTCAACGCGTTTCACCTGAAGTAGCCAAAACTATTATTTTATCATATAATAATTCTTGCTCATTTTGTAATAGACCAGTAAAATAAGTTGATGAATGAAAATAAATAACAATTTTAATAGCTCTTGTTGAAGTTTGCTGATAAATATCTGATTCTTTAAAGATATTCCTCATAATTAAATTCATTTGGTAAGCCATGCAAGGTAAAAATATTTTATTAGGATAATCTTTTCGTATAATCCTTCTATTAAAATAAATAAATTAATTAAAAATTAATAAATAAAATTTTAAAATAATAAAATTTATACATACCGCGCAGCAGCATATTCACCTGCTGAGTCAGATACAAAACAATTTATTTTAATATTATTTTTTTCAGCTTCAATCATTATACTTTTAACATGATCAATTATATTTTCAGTTTTTGATCTTATATCACTTATATCTTTGGCATCCCAAATGAGTGTTTTACCTATTAATGTTATAAAAACAACACCAAATAAATGCTTTTGTTTAACATTTGTCCAACCATCAAATGCTGCTTTTATTCCAATTTTATCAATTTGTGCAATTTTTGTAATAGATTCTGTTATCATTTTAGTTGATTTTGGTAAAATTTGATCACTCATCCTTTTCTGACTTGGTAATTTTAAGGCTGAAGCAATAAATTCAAATACATCTTTTGTTTCTTGATTATCAAAAAAAGTAAAAAATAATCCATTTGAAACTAACATTCGTAATAATAAGATTTTAAAATATGGCTTATCTTTTTTTGTTAAAAATCGTGATAAATAATTTGTAATAGGTAATTGAGTAGTAGTGATTAGTTTGGTAATTGAATTAAAGTTTCGTTATCATCACCATCATTTTCTTTATCACTTTCATCTTCACTTTCAGAATCTAAAAATTTATATCATAAAAAAAAATATTGATATTTCTGTTAAAAATTAAAAAATTAAAAGAACTTAGAAGAAAAGTGTAATTTAAAACTATTAAATATTTAGTACCTTCAATTATGTTTATATTTTTCATGTCATTTTTTTCTTTTTAATTTTTTTTATTATCTTCTGGTATATTCTAGTTAGAATTTCTTTTCTTTCACTTTCTATTACTTGATTTTTAAAATTTGTACATTTTACAAAATGTTTGCGACAAAGTTTTGCTTTATTTGAAACAAAGCAACCAACATTAACTGACGTCACAGAAATGAATATTCTTTTATACAAAATTACAAACAGCTCGTTTATTAGCTGATTTTTTTGGCAGATTAATTAATATAAAGAATTCTCTAAAATTATGTGACTTTTTGCCTATATTTATAATATTGAAATATTTGTTTTTGTTTTTATCTTTCTTGTCAGTCTTTGACATACTAAATGTTATAAACACGACTTTAAAAAAATTTATGTACAACATTTTATTTAAATAAAAAATTGTGATATATGTCTTTTAAAAGAAGAATAAATTTGTCTTTTATTATAAAAAAGGAAGAATATATGTACATTGCTCATTGCTAACAGTTAATTTAAGAAGTTGAATGAAAAGTTAATTGTGTAGTACATTACTTTAAAATTTGTAATATGAGATGAGATGTATGACAATAAATGACATTTACGTCTATTCTATTCCATATTATTTTTGGCATGCATGTATACTGATAGCAGAATTTTTGCAGCTAATCCAGTTCCGATTAATAAAATTCAAATTTTTTTAATAACTGATAATTTTCATTAATATAATTTAACAAAATTGCATGAAAAAAAATTCTTTAAATTTTTTTTTATTGACAAATTTTTTAATAGAATGCGTTATATGAAAAAATTTTTTGGTATTTTTTATGCACTATATTAATTTAAACTCATCATAAATTACTAAAATATTTTATGTATACTTGATCCTAAAATTGAATTAAAAAATTATTTTAAATGACCTAAATGACTTCAAATGACAATGTTATGCAAGGTCATTTGTCATTTGTAAAATGACTTATTTTAAATGACCAAAATGACATAGTCATTCAAAAGTCATTCGAGGGTTATTTTAAATGGTCAAATGACCTGGTCATTTGCCATCACTGATTTGCTAGGAAAAAGGGTTTTAAGACTATGTATTATATAGTGTCAGAACTCCTTTTTTCTAGCAAATCTTATGAGATTTCTTCTGTTTTTAAAATGATAATTGATTTTCTTACTATATAGAAATTAACATAATCTACAGATACTTTATAGAAAAAAATTAATTATTTTTTTCCTTAAAAAACAAGTAAACTTGTCAGATTTTCAACCAAAAAAACATTGTGAAAATTATGGTAAATAAAAGAAATATCTGTCAATAAGTATTATTTAAGATTATAAGCTTGTTTGCGATAATTTTATATAAGTATATTATATAACTTTAATGGTGATTAAGAAAAATCAGAAAAAAAGTTTTAAAGAAACATTAAATTGATTAAATAGTTAGAATTTTGTACTATCACTAAATATAATCAAAATTTTTATATATCAAATTCTAATGCTTTAGATGCATATTGCAACATATTTTTTTTATTGCCTTTATCTATAAAATCATACAGATACATTCAATTACTAAATGTTATTTTTTTTATTTTTTTGAATCGTATAAAATATCATACCGGCATTACTTTCAAATATATCGCTTTCAAACTTTCGTTTACCTTTTTTTTAAAATAAAATGGAAAAATGGTTATTAATAATTTTAGCATATTCAAAATGTGTTATTTAACTGGTTGTAAAATAAATATTTTAATTTTAATTACCAAAATCTGAAGAAATAGATTGACTTCGTAAACTTCTTGTGGATTCTGCGAAATTTATCATGAAACTTAAAAATCTACTCTTATAAATAGCGTCTGGATTTGTTGTTGTTATAGGTCCAATTTCTGATGATTCTACAATATCTGTTGGATTTCTTCGTTCAGATTTATACATGTCCCAAATTCTACTACTGATGCCACTAGCCGGTGGCCTTTTATTTTGATCAGGGTCCCAGCATTCTTTCATTAGCTCAATATAACCTTCAGGTGCTACAATATTACCTGTTAGAGGACGTAAGCCATCACAAATATCAATAATCAGCTCAATATCATGAGCACGATCCCAAAAAGGTCTTCTACCCGTCATACACTCCCACATAATCATACCAAAACTATAAATATCTGATTTATTAGTATGTTTTTGTTTTTGAAGAACCTTCGGGGCCATATAAGGAATAATTCCATAATTAGTTTCATTTGTTTCATTATAATTTGATAATTCACTTGATAATTTACTCAATCCTAAATCATTAATTACTATATCATATTTACTTTTCAAAAGAATATTTCCACTATGAAGATCTTGATGAATAATGTTTTGATAGTGAAGATAATAAAGTCCTTCTATAATATGGCTCAAAATTCTTAACTTTAGGTTCCAATCAATATTGAAAAAATTTGTAGCTAGATAATAGCCTAAATCATATTCATAATAATTCATAATAATCACAAAATTATTGGTAATAGGATCTTGAGTAATTCCATAACATTTATTTAGATAAAGTAAAGAACCAAAGTAACCTTCATTTAATCTAGTATTATAAAACATTGTAAGCTAAATATAAAATATATATTAATAGATGTATATTTAAATTATTAATTACTATTATTATTAGGTTAAATTAGTATACCTCATTTAATTGTTTAGTAGAAATGTTATTAGAATTATTAAGTTTTTTTAAAGCGACTATCATATTCGGATCATTGTATATAAAATCATTCATTTCTTCATTCCAAGAAGGTGGACCATTATTCCAAACGGCCTTATAAACTTTACTAAATCCTCCTTCACTAATCATTTCTATATTTGTAAATTGATTATAAGGAACAAATATCAAGCTCCTCGATACTTGGACAGAATTGATTTGTGTATACTTGATAAATTCATCAACGATTTTGTTACCACTTGGTTTATATAATAAATTGTATTGATAACAAATCATACATATTTTGTGATATTCTTTTAAAGGTTTTCTTCTCATAAAACAATTATCACAAACTTTATAAATATTATCATCTATTTCCATTGAAAATTCAATTACCGGTTCAAATATAGTTATAATGTTATTTATTTCTAGTTTTTGTAATCGATTAATTCGATTAATTGCATTTTCTAAATTTCTTTCTATTTCTTCACTTTTTTTAAATAAATAATCCAATCCGATTTGTGAATTTTTTATTGCTTCTTGATAAAAATAATACGCCTTTTTATAGTTCCTTTCTGTTCCTTTACCGTCATAATATAAAACTGATAAAATATATAGTGCTTCGATACTTCTGTTTTCTGCTGCTTTTGTAAACCACTCTATGGCTGTTTCTAAATTATTTGCTATTTCTTCACCACCATTATAATATAGACATGCAAGATTAAGTTGTGCCTCAACAACCCCATTTTCTGCTGCCTTTTTAAACCAATAATAAGCTGCTTTTAAATTTTTTGCATTTTCATGTAAAAGTGCAAGATTATATTGTGCAACTTTATCATCATTTTCTGTTGCATTTTGATACCAAAATGTGAGACTATTTTCTTCAAATTTTTGATATTTTTGATTCCAATTCATAACTTTACTTGAGGAATTATTTAAAGAACTTATAATATCTGATTCAGCAGTTCTTTGATCTTGTGAAACAACCATGTTACGTTGTTTAGATGAAATAATCACTTTAAGAGTTGTAACAATATCTTGTATGTTTGGACGTTCATCTGGTTCATATTTCCAACAATCTAAATGAATAAATTGAATTAGAATTATTTTTAAAAAAAAAAATATTGAAAATACTGTATAATAAAAATATCATATTCACGTTCGTATAGATTACTATATTCTATAGGCGTTCCACTAATGATTGTTTCTCTTTCTCCATCAATTATTCTTAAGTTTAATATTCTCGCATCATAACCAGTATCTTTAAATGGTCTTTTTCCACTTGAAATTAACCACAACAAAACTCCGATACTATAGACATCTGATTTTTTATTTAATTTGTATATCTCATTTTCTCCATAATTTAAGCTTTTTGGATCCATATAGGGCAATACACCTATAATCTTCGATTCGTTACTTGACGAGTCAGTGAGCTTTTTTGATAAGCCAAAGTCTACTATCTTAATTGATTTTTGATGTATGAGTATATTACTTGCATGCTAAAATTTATTAAATATAGATTACTAAACGAAATAGATAAATAAGATGTTTTACAAAAGTTGATTATTTACCAGATCACGATGAACAATATCACAAGAATGCATACATTCTACAGCGCTTACAAGTTGCAAAGCCAGCTGAAATTTTTCACACCAATCAATATGCTTAAAATGGCATTTTAAGTATTCATTTATAGTGCCACCATCAGCAAATTCCAAAACTAAAGAGTATCTTTTAATTACATCTGCTATGTTTATAAAAAAATTTATTAATTAAAATATTAAAAGAATCGTTTATTAAAATATTTCTAATGCCTACTAGTTTCTTCGAATGTAAGTCCATAAAATCGTATAATATTTGGATGAAAGTCAACCTTTTTGTGTAATCGTATCTATATAACATTTTACACATATTAATTAAATTTAGCTTATTAATAAATATTTTATAAAATAATTATAATATATTGTACCTCCTTTACAATTTTCTTCAATGTCGTTTTACTATTATTAAAAGATTTCAAAGCAAAAAAACAATCCGTATTTTTCCAATTAGCACTCCTAACATCTCCAAATGCACCATTTCCTATTACTCGCAAATTCTGGAAGTCAGAGTAATCAAAATAATTTATATATTCATCTTGAATTGATTTTTCTAACCATTCAATGTATTTTTTATTTGACATTTTTATTTTTTAAAAAAAAATAAATATTTTAAATTCTGAGATGAAAAACCAAACTCGTTATAAACAATAATGCAAGGCAACAAAATTAGGCTTAATTGGAGGTACATCGGAGATTCTTCACCGGTATACTTGGATTGGCTAAAGATTTTCACGTGATATATTTTCCTAATAATTTATAATTCCACTTATTAAATTTAATTTGAGACAGAATTTAATTCAAACTTTTAAAAAATTAATCGTCTAACTTAGCCATATTATAAATAAATTTACTTATGAGCTATTCATCTATTGATTGACTTTTAAATATTATCCAAATTATACAATCTAAAGATATCACTATTGTAGGATTTTACTACTAGTAAATCATTAAAATCAACTATTTTAATAGCCGATCACCATATGGGAGCTTTGCTATTAAAAATGGGTTCCGGGGACTTTTAACAAAAAATGAGATTTTTAATTCATATTATAGTATACTAAATGAACTTTATTTGGTTAAATTTTTAGAGTCTATTAGCTTATTAATA